ACAAGTTTGTGTTGGTGGTGTGCTTTGTTGTTTGTAGCAACCTCTGGCTCAAGCTGCAGCTTCCACCAAGAACCTTTCTTGCGCTTCAAGTTTCTTTGGTTGATGGGGAACAACCAGCTCCAGGGCAAGCCCTTCTGATGAGTTGATTCAGCACCTGCTTTGCAATAGGTAAAGTAAACATGTTTTTTACCACCCCACAGTTAGCAACCCACTTTGGGTCTTCTCAACTATTGGGAATATGTTTTGGGATGTGTGTTTTGCCTTTTGGTTGATGAATCAAAAAATGAATCAAAAAGGCGACCCTGGTTCAACTCCAGCTCCAACTGGTCCAGGAGCACCAGGCGAAGCTGGGTATCAAGGATGGCGGTTGCAAAATTGTTTCAGTTTAATGCCCTGCAAAACGTGAACCCAAATAAAACTATGTCCCAATTGGACACATGCCCTGCAGGAGAAGATTTCCTGAGGACCTGCACCAAGTGTGGTCTGTCTGCATATTGGCGCAAGGGCTGCTGCCTGAATCCTTGGTGTGTAACTTGGCTGCACGTTGTACATTTTGTGCTTTTCGGTGTTGCTTAGTATGGGTGTATGTGCCTTGGTTCAAGCATGCTGGCCTGAACAACCTGAAGTTGTGGGGTGGCAAGAGCGATGAACTCGACCTGCAACAGGGCAGCTGGTCAAAGGCGAAGAACCGATGATCCTTGGTAAATATTATCTATCAAAATAGTCTCCTTTCTTCAGGAGACTATTTGAATATTCTCCTTTCTTCAGGAGGCTATATATGTATATATGTAGTCTCCTTTTTTCAGGAGGCTATATATGTATATATTCACATTAGTTTCAGAAGAAACCTAAAGAGGCCAGGCTCTCCTATCTAAATGTTTTGGCTAGTCCCTGGCCAGGACAGAAGCGCAAGCAGAATGACTGGTGGCAAGAGAAGATGACCAAGCAGGGCAAGATCTGGGTGGATGGGCAGGGATGGGTGCAGAAGCCTGATGCTCCTCAAGGAGATGGCTTTTGAACCTTTTGAAGATGTGGGGATTCTAAGTCTCTGTTATTCAAAACAATTCATGATTTGGGGTCACTAAAATTGTTGTAGTTTCTAATTTTACCTTTTCCCGGCAGGACCAAACCTCATCAATGTGGACAATGACAAGGAGAAGGAGGACAAGGAGGAGAAGGAGGACAACGAAGAAGAACCTCAACAACCGCCTCCTTTGGATTTGGACAAGGAGAAGGAGGAGAAGGAGAAGGATAAGGAGGAGGATGACGAGTCCAAAAAGGATGAGCCTGGTGAGGAGGGCAAAGGTGCATCCTAATCTTGCCAGGGGTGCAACTTCGATTTGCTCATGGGTTGGCCCACCGGTGGTCAGGAGATGGGCTTGTACCATTCTGTGTATCAGCTGGAAAAAGATGAAGCTACCTGTTGCTGCTCAGGAGCTCCTTGCACTGCTCAGGAGCTCCTCAAAGAATATACCATCAACAAACCATAGTTGAGGATTGTTGAATTTCAGGAGTATGTATTTGTAAATAGTTTAGGAGGTCTCCTCTAGGTAAATCAAGGAGATCTCCTGAAAAGTGTTTGACATGTTGGAGAGAAGAGTGTGACACACACACATGGCTAACCCCTTTTGGGCTACCTTCTATACAAGCTTTTCTATTTAACCAATTTAACTCTATTTAACAAATATCTCATTTAACCATATGTTCATTTAACTTCATTTAACTATAAATTAAAAGGAAAATAGAAAGGAAACTAAAAATTAAATGCAATTAAATGAGGTTAAATGGTTAGCCTTTACCTATTTTCATTTAACTTCAAAGCCTGACCATGTAACCAATGGTTGGCCATGCAGGCTTTCATTTGAAGAAAGCTTCTCCTTTCCAACATCAGGCGATGCATTATCTTCTGGTCTACTATGAAGTTTTTTGTTTTTGGTGATTGTGTTTATGATGTTCCTGGTTCCTTGTGTTTTGTTTCCTAAACTTAAGGTTGTTTTGTGTTCAGTGAACTCTTGGCTCAAGGTGTGTGTCAGATCTGTTGCTTTCTGAGCTTTTGGGAAAGCATGCTTTTGTTCAGTGTGGTGGTTTCCTTGGCAATGGTTGGCTTCATGGCACCTAAGGCTGCTCCCACAGCCATAGCAAAAACAGCCACTGCTAAGGCAAAAGCCAAGGCCAAAGCTGATTCGAATGAGAAAAAGAAGAGGCATGCCAATATGATTGGTCAGCTGAAGAATGCAATGGAGAAATTGCAAAAAGTCCAGAAAGGAGAGAAAGAAGTATCTCCAGAAGAGCTGGCTGAACTCGAATCCAAAGACAAGCTTTTGGAAGGAGTACTGCAGCCTTGGGAGCGGAGACGACAAGAAGAATGACACGCTGGAGCCCTTTTCTCTGGACAAGACTTGCAGCAAAGTGGTGTGGAGATCCAAGGCCTTGTCACAAGAATCCTTTGAAAACAATTCAGGATGCGATGGGTGGATTTCCCGCTTCCTAGCTGCATTCCAGTTTTGTTTAAAGTGTAGTATAGATACCGTTTTCAGTGTGAAAAAACTTTTGGGCAACTTAGGGTTTGAAGTTGCCAAAGAAGAAGGTTTGGATGTGCAGAACGCAACACTTCTGCAATCGATCCTTGCTCAGTTGCCCCAAGACCAGAACTGGGACACCAACATACCTAGGGTGAAGGCCCTGCTGGAGGCCAAAGAAATGAGGTACTTCTACCAGAAGAAGAACCTGAGAGTGAGTGGCAGTGCTTAAAAAAGAAACTGACAAGCTTGCATTGAAGGAGGTGGAGAGTTCAAAAAGACTTCTGCCGACAAGTTTTTGAAAAATGAGCCTGATTCATCACCACTTGTGGTGAAAATCGAAAACCCTGCCTTGCTGAAGTTCAAGCAAAGCTTGACCGTACTTCGAAGTGGCAAGAGCAAGGTGGCGAGGGAATTGGCCAAACCAAAGACTTGTTGCTGAACTTCCAAGAGAAAAATCCCACCATGGCAGCAGAAGTGCAGAAATCCATTGGTGTTCTGGAAACTTTTGTGGAGACTTTGATCCACACTTTCGAGAAAGTCACAGATCCAGACACCAAGTCCTTGGATGATCTCATCGAAAAGTGTGAGAGTCATCTTGATGCATACGAAAGGCTGCTCAATAAGAAAAAGGCAGCTCTGGAGAACTAGAACCTTCAGCTTTCAGCTGTGCGCCGAACACGTGGCGGCGTGCCCGAGGGCTGCCTACTGCTGACCGCTTTGGTCACCTCGTGGCTTGTCCGAAGACTGCCTACTTGGAAATTGCAAATAACTTTGGCATAAGCCTCCTGCTGTCCGCTTCGGAGACCTACGTTCCCGGGCAGGGGGAACAACGACTAACCCCGTTCGACGGGTCCACAGGGGGCACTCTACGGGCTCACCCTAGGCTGGCGTGAAGCCAGACAGACTTTTATAGAAATGCGTACTGGTTTAAAAGCGGTTTGCCACACGCCGGCCTAAGTGAAAAACCTAAGAAACAGCAGGTACACGGAGCTGATCAGGCTCCGCTTCCCCCTCTTGTCCACAGCTTCATTGCGTGCGGTCAGGACAAGAGGGCCACACGCCCCTGCAGAGTAAAAATGACAACCAAACACGCAATCCAACTGGATCCCTGTGATTCCAAGGGGTACTGGGTGCTCGCAAGGGCTAAGTTCAGAGTGAAGTCCCACTTTAGCGATTACATTACCCGTTGCATTGTAGACCTTGACTTGCAAACGGAAAGGTGGAGACGTCCGCTTCAACTGTATTGTTTAACAAGGGTGAGATGGAGAAAGTTGAAAAATGCGGGTACGTGAGTCGGGCGTCCCTGACTCATATCACGAGAAACGTGCAGCGTCTTCGTTGGTCGCTGACTGCACGAATCCCCAGCGACCCCCTGCCTCTTTTGTCGCGTTGTTAACTAGGACAGGAGAAACAGAAGGAAAGGCACCAACACACAAGTGTGTTGAGTGCGATTTCCTTCTGTTACCCTGAATAGCGGGTGGGGTAGCAACCAAGGCCAGGGGCAAGGAGGCAACCAAGGCCAGGGGCAAGGAGGTAGGGGGGAGGGTGGGTTAGGGTGGCCCGAAGGCATTGCCGTCACTGGCATTCAAGTAAAGCCGCATTCGGCGCATCTTTGACTGCAACCTATAAAGAAACCTAAAGAAAGGCCTCAAGAAGACAAAAAGCAACAACAGGAAGGAAAAACCAAAAGAACCAGAAGAGATTACTTTGTCGTTCACGTTCCGGACTCTCCTTCCGCTGGGCCGTAAAAGGCGGTACAGTTTCGCCTGAAACCTGAAAAGCATCGAGCAACCCTTCACCTGAACCTAGAAGCCTCGAGCAAAACTCAAAGTGGTCCGAATGACACATTCGTCCCGTGCAGGTGTCCCGTCTTGTTTACTTAGCCAAATGACACTGCTCCAAACATGCTCACGTGTGAAATTCCCAACTGGATCTGATCACAGTAAGCCCTGCGGCGTTCAATCAGCAGTCTCGTGCAGTTCCGCCAATCAGTGGGATTGCATAAAGAACTTCAAGTGCAAGAACGGAACAATCAGAGTGGGTCCCCAAGGATCTGGGTCTATGCACACGCTGCGCCCCTCGGCGGGGATCACACCACAGCCCTCAGTGGGACTCTGTGGCACGTGGCAACACACACACACACACTTAGATGGTTGCTCGCAAGAGCTAAGTTCAGAGTGAAGTCCCACTTTAGCGATTACATTACCCGTTGCATTGTAGACCTTGACTTGCAAACGGAAAGGTGGAGACGTCCGCTTCAACTGTATTGTTTAACAAGGGTGAGATGGAGAAAGTTGAAAAATGCAGGTACGTGAGTCAGGCGTCCCTGACTCATATCACGAGAAACGTGTATCCCCAGCGACCCCCTGCCTCTTTTTTCGCGTTACAAGACATGTGTGCAAGACATGTGTGCAGCCTTGGAAACAGGCTTTGACACACACACACACACACACCGGGCTGTACATTTCGCCGCGATGCATTTCGTAGGCATGCGCAATGGCCAGGAGGTTCATTGTCTTTGCTGACATCATGGCACCATAGCGAAAGTACAGCTTGGCCTGGACTGTGCAAAACGGCCCTGCCTCCGTGCAACGTTCGGCACGATTCCTCCTGCAAACCTAAAGCACCCTAGGATAAATATGCCTTTGCCTGCCATTTGCCTGCTACATCAGGGTGTCCAGAAGGCTACTATACCATGTTGCCATCTCTAGCAAGATCAGTAGCTGTTCCTCCTCCCATTCCAACTCAGGCTGTGGCCATCACGGGCGGAAAGAGTAGTTCACAGCTCCGGACCAAAACCCCAAGCAGGATCGCTCCAAGCCGAAACTTTCGCTGCAGAAGGGTGCAAAAACCATGCGTGAACACGGTGCGAATACGGTGTGAGCACAGTGTGAACTAGAAGTAAAAGCAGAATCTTGAGCAAGTCTTCCGGTACCATTTAGCAGCTGTCTTCCTCGTTTGACCCAGCCCAGGCTCTTTAGTCTGGTTGGTTAGCATCGAAGCTCATGGGATGAGCTTTGACAGCCGTCAGCAAGCATCCACAAATCTTGAACTGCCAAAAGTTTGTTGCAAATGGCCCACACCTTACACGGCAACTGATGGCTACGCATATTCCAGCAAATATGACAAAAGCAAGCTGAGATTCAGGCTGAACCGCGCACGGTACATGTTATGTCCTAGGCTATAGGTGACAGAGCCATAGTGACGTGGCGCGTTGTAGATATAGCTCATAATGAGAGGCGAGCAACCACCATCATCCATTCCAGCTCGCTGCTCCGAATGAACTTCTACGAGAACTCCTAGAGGACTCATCTAAGATTGCCAGGAGCTACAAGAGGGACAGAAGCTAGAGGAAGAAGTCGAAAACACTACAACAAATAAAGTCTTAAAAAAATAAACACTTGTACCTTAAGCAACACCGGCGCCGATGCTCGCATCTTCAGACGGTGAACCTCTCCTGTGTCTTGGCTGCAGGTGACCGCTCCGTAGCGCCAGGCGATGTCGTCCACAAATCTCCAAGCAGAAGTGCCTTGCCAGGGCTTTAGTGTGAAGACTATTGGCATACAATGTTTTCGCAAAGTTCTGTCTATCTGGTCTTGCTGATGAATCTTTACACCCCATGACTCAGGCGGGGCCAACTCTCCCCCCTTTTTCTGTAGATGTGCACATGTATATATAGTTATATATGATTTTATATATGGTTGTTCTGTTCTGTTTATTTGTTGTTTAATGTTCATTTATAGTTAATGTTCCTCGTTGTGAAGGGTTGTACTTTTGCTTCTGGTTCGTAAGTGTTTTTCAAGGGTTCCGCCAAGCACTTCCACAATCCTGGCGGTGCCAAGTCACTGCAGCTCACCCATGCAAAGGTGCCAGATATAGCCCCCATCGATGGCACACTATAGGCTTCAGGTTTGGAATCAACCCATCTGCAATCCCTTGGGCACCGGAGGACCACATGAAAGAATCAAATTTCACATGAAAACATATGAAACTTCTTGGAAGAATCATCGAGAGATGCCCACACTAAGGCTCACCATGATCCAAGTCTCTCTGGCCAATTGATCTTGCCTTCTGCCCATCTTCGAATCTCCTTGAGTTCTCCCCGCTTCAGGCAAGGCCCTCTTACCCCATAAGTTCTGGATGGTTTGCTTATGACTCAGTGTGCACCTCCACAAATCACATCACCAGGCTCCTGTCCCACCTCCTGAGCGGTGGCATTGGTGATGAGCAGAGGCATGGTGGCACCTTCCCGACACCTAGGATCACTGAGGCTCAGCCTGCAGCAACCCGCCACGCGGCAGCTTTCCTGAAGTGCTCGCGGTTTGTCTGACAAGGGTCAGTCCAGTTGTCCGGCCCGACAGGTACCCCTTGGCGATGGAACGATTCTGCCATCTTTTCTACTTGTGGCCCGGACGCCCCATCATTGACGCAAAGAGCAAGCTGCCGTGGGGCGTGGCAAGCAGAACAAACACCGCAGGTTCCGCAGGTTTGGTCTCCTGCTGCGGTCCCCCTGTTTCGTGCCCAGCGGCTGGAAAGCTGTCCCAGCCAGGGTTGTTGAAGAAAGTCTGCAAATGAAGCCTTGAGAACGCCGAGCTCTGGATCACCGGCAGCCGCTCTCTTTGACAAGCTTGGCTCGGGAAGGCACCCAAACAAAATCACGCAGACAAGCGCCAGCGGTGTTGCCAAAACGAGCAAGAGAATGCGCAGAATTCGGCCTGAACCCACCCAGGAGTTTGACAGGAATGGCCCAAAACGTCTCAAACTGCTCAGGCACGAGTCACTAGCTTTCATGACAACGCTTCTTTTGCGTAGGTTCAGGCAAGTTGCATTTTGGACCCCTCTCAGCATCAGGTCTGATCAGTAGGACCTGGGCAGCTCCCACAGTGGTCTTGGCTGGGCACCAGTCAAGTCTTCAGCCTTCAATTCAACCGCAAACTTGCTTGAACTTTTGCTCATTGTTGCCGTACCCGGCATAGAAGTCCCGAGAAGTAGCCTAGCATAGGCCCTATCATAGGGGAGGTCCTAGCGGGCCCAGGCCTATCACAGGCAGGTCCCAGCTAGGATAGGCCCTATATAGGCCTATCATAGGATAGGGCCTATCAAAAGGGGGGGTCCTAGGGCTAGGATAAGCCCTATCATATAGGGGGTGTCCTAGGGCTAGGGTAGGCCCTGGGCTAGCCCTAGGCCCCAGGACAGGGGGTTGCAGGGCTAGGCTACGCCCTATCATGAGGGCGGGTCCTGGGGCTAGGATAGGCCCTATCAAGGGGGGAGGGCTAGGATAGGCCCTATCATAGGGGCTAAAAGGGGAGAAAAGCCAGCAGGGATACATCCTGGAGGCGAAGCATACAGCGCCGTCCAAGGACAAAGGACTGGTGCCCAGAGTACGCCTTATTGAAAAGATTCAATAAGGAACGCATGCTTCAATAAGCACTATCAATTTCAATAGCAACATTGTTTTTATTGAAACAGAATCAATAAAGCCTTATTGCTTAAACCAATAGGGTCTTATTGGTTTGAGAGTTGAAACCAATAAGGTTTCTTATTGGTTTGTAGACTAAACCAATAAGGTTTTTTCAACAGTTTGGGATCTGAAACCACAGTGTGTGTCAACCAACTTGCATTTTTGTCTGGCAGCAAAGCATATTCAGAGCCCTTGTGCAGGACCCAGTTGATTAAGCCCTTGGCAGGACCAAACTACATTGTGCTTCAGCCCTTTGACAGGACCCAAACAAAGTTTCAATCATCATCATCAGACATTGGGAGCTCAAGGGCATCATGGAGAAACCTGAGATGCATGCCCAAGCGAAACCTCCAACACACCTTGCCAGGCACAAGATGTGGTGGGGTTCCATTTAAACAGGAGTGGGCTAAACTTGACATGAGACCAACCATGGTCTCTCCTGTGTAAGTACTCATGTACTTGGGGTTGGCCCACTCTGCTTGCATTGCTAAGTGTGCACTCAAGTGATGCTTGTGAACAGTTGAATATTGCAGCAGGTTCTTCCCAATGCAAATGCTTGCCAATTTGGTATAATGAACCAGGCAAAGATTCATGGATTTGAGCAAGGATTTGCTAGCTGCTTTGGACATGTGAAGGCCTTCTTGGTCCATCAGTGCATAGACATTGTTGAGGTGCTCCAAGGCTGCCAGCTTGTGCCTGGAGTAGTTGTCATTTGGCAGCTCAGCCTTGCAAATCTCCAGGTAGACAGGCACCAAATGTCTCACTTGTTTTGCTTTCAACCCTGACAAATGAGGGAAATTGTCCCACTTTGATTTGACAGAGCAAAAGTTGCTCCAAGTGAGTCTTCTAATTCTACAGCTATGATCAGTACCTTGTTCCTGGTACTGGTGCATGATCATCTCTTGCAGGTGCACCAACCTCTCTTCTTGGGATCCTGGCCAGGTAGGCTTCATGACAAAGTCAAAAGTAATGTTGGCCAGCAGGTGTCCAGTGACACCAAGCTCCAGCGCATGCAGAATATCATAGGCCCATGTCTCACCAACTACACCCTTCACACCTGCTATAGGGTGATTAGTGGGACATGTGCCTTTGTGTTTGATGCATGTAGTTCTCCACAAGGCATTTGGGCGGTAGTCATTGTGTGGAATGCTGTCCTTATCTGCTTTGCAGGAAAAGCAACATTGGTTGTAGCTGTGTCCTTGGAGACCAAATTCATTCTGCTGATATTCACCATCACAAGTGATGCCAAACAGCCAGCCACAATACCCATTGCTGTTGAGGGCTGAGCCTGCTTTGCTATGCCTGTAGCTTTTTGGGTGCCAAGCTTCTCCTAAGTGGTCTTTCTCAGGCCATTTACCACACCACATGGCATTGAAGGACCATTGCAAAACATTCCAAAGCGCTGTCATTGTGTCCTCCTCAGAGTTGCTGCTCTTATTGCAGCATGCCTTTGGTATGGCCAGCAGTAAAAGTTG